GGGAAGGGCGGGGGGAGGGGAGGGGGGAGAGACGTGATTTATTTCGCCAAGAGAAAACGCGGCCAACGAAAAGTCTCCCTGGTATCGCCGCTCGACGACGATCCCGATAAGAGAACCATACGTGGTTATCTTCGGGCCAAATCGATCGGCCACCGCCGCTGGATATTGTCATGACATCTTTTTCTTTCCCCGTCCGACCGATTTTTTTATTTCTCCGTCTCGGCGACGTCGTCATCCGCCGGTTCATTGTTCCCAGTGCCTCACAGGTTGCTTGCGCCGACGTGGACTAATTAAAATTTCTCTCTCCGCCTTAGCTGGGATTGTAATTTACGGAGGATCGAATATCACCGGGATCGAAATTCAATGAGCGAACGCAATATATATCATTCGTTCGCTCGTCTAGCTTCGAGTCCCGCTTCGAGAAGGCGGATCGGAGAGACGCAGAAGGGATCTCAGATTTAAAACTGTTACGGGCTTTCGCATCCAACCGATATAACTGTAAACATGAGACGTACTACGACTTGAGCTGAGGAACCAATCGAGATGCCTCAGGCCTCTTCGTGCACTCTGGAAGAAGAAGTGACCGTGCAACTAAGTCTTCAACCAGTCGTATCCTAATTACTTCGGCTTACGATCAGATTTACCGTTATCTTTATTTTCTTCCAGAGAATACACAAATCTAAAACAATATCCTGATTGGTTCTTTTTAAGCTTAAGTTTCCGTCTTGTGCTTACAGTTACAGCGATTTGTTGACTCCTAGCGATACGCGCGCTTCTTCATCGATGTAACAGTCGAAATGCAAAGCGCAAAGTGATCATCCATCGGTCGGGCTTCAGCCGCGAGAATTGACCTAAAATACACTTCTCAGGAGTGCCGCGGCCCGAGCGCGAAAATAAATGCAACGGCAGGTGCTCGGCCTGGGTCTATCTTTAGGGCGCGTTCGTGGTAACGGGGGCTTAAATTTGCCGATCAATAAAAATATCTGCGTGCCGCGAATGGTTTATTTGACAGTCTGGAAATACTCGGCGTGCCGTGTTTTACCCTAGATTTACGGATCTCGATGCGGAGCCATTAAAGGTCGGAAACGGTTGGTCGAAAACGCCAGTTTGTACTGACCTACGCCTCACAGTTTCTCGGTGATGAGGAACACACGTGTCACATAGATTGTGTTTATTGCAAAAAATATAATCTCTTACAATATGAGAGAGAGTCGTACGCGCGATTAATAGTCATTCAGATAAAAGATAATCGTATCCTCGGTGTCATATTCTACCAATTTTAACAAATATTTTTCGTATTGATATATATATGTATGTGTATGTGTGTGTGTGTGTATTTGATCTTTGGCCGTTCAATTTCTCGCCTGGTCATAATTCTCTATGTACCAATCGACAGTCTCCTTAATCGCCCGTGCGAAAGGTGTAAATTGAAAGTCGGGCAAGTGCTTTCGTAATTTCACGTTACTTGCCGTTTTCTTGTACTGGCCGTCCGCTGCCGATGTATCGTACACTACTTTGCCTTTAAAGTCGAAAGCTCGCACCAGAGTCTCGGCCACCTTCGATATAGACGTTTCCTCCTCTTCGGCCACTGAAAAGTAATTCTTCTTAGCGCTTGTTCGCCTCTGTGAAATTGCGATTCACGAAATCGACAAACGACAATTATTGTCTTTGATTGATAATTGCCTATTTCACCATAGACAAGCATTGAAAAATGAAATTTAGTTGTAATTATCTTAACCGATTTTGAGTGGCCGTGCACGGTTACCTGACAATATGATTGGTTCTACGGAATTGTATTCACGAAGCACCCAGATTATTAATTTCGCCAAGTCTATGCTATAGATGAATTGTCTTAAAGGCTTGCCGGAACCCAGCACAGTGAACACCTTATCCTCTGTATTCCCTGATGAAAATATATAACAATAACATCGGATCATCCGCTCAAAATTCACCCATAAATTGTTTGCATACCGTCTTTGCACAAGTCGTAAAGCTTGCGCATCAAGCCAGGTATAATGTGACTTGAGCTAGGACAAAAGTTGTCATGTGGACCAAACACGTTGCAAGGAATCACGCTGGTATACAGCCTACCATGTTGGTCGTGGTAGCCTCTATTTGCGATATCTATGAGCCGTTTGGCGTAACTATAACCATAATTTGAAGGATGTGGTGGTCCATTGTGAACCTGAAACATAAGTCAGCTTTTATAACCATACTTATTCAAAGCAATAAATATATACCTGATTAGACATTTTTATATGTTTTATATATTACCATGGTTTCGTCGATTGGATAAGTTGTCTTATCTGGAAATATACAAGTGGAAAGGCACGAAACAACTTTGACAACATTGTGTTCGTGAGCGGTATGGAGGACATTATCATTCATATGGATATTGTTCAGCTACAAAAATCAAATCTAATATTAGCAACTACGACTAAAGCTAAATTACTTACAGTAATTATGTGTACTGACCAGAAAGTCCAAATTGTGAGACATGTTGTGGAAAAGCCCACCAACCATGGCAGCTAGGTGAACAACATGTGTCGGTTTGTGTTCATCGAACAATCTGCGAGTACTCCCCTTGTCGCTGTGACAAGCAGTAAGAGTGAATTTTCACTGAAATAAGTACCGTATCTTACACGTATCAATTGTTAATAAACTTAACTCACCACAAATCCGCATCTTTGGAGCCAATAAATATCCACTTTTCGTCTTCCCTCTTATCGCTTGCAATAACACTTTGAATGGCTTTGCCAACAAGTCCAGTACCGCCGGTCACAAGTACGACTTTCATATTGCCCAAAATACAGCTAATGGCAGATATAACGTGTTATAATAACGACAACTATTTACAGATAATGCAAGGCTTACATGAGGATGCAAAACTTTTAAAAAAAGGTAGTAGGTTCCAAATCCACACTCGAAACGTCACGTAGAAGTACAGTGTGGACGAAGTAACATTAGGTCTGTTCGTTTTTGCTTCACCGCTGAACTGGTGCAATAAGTTGAAGCGAGAAAAGTATATGTTTTCTCACTTCAACTTATTGCACTAGTTCAGCGGTGCAGCGAAAACGAACAGACCTATTTATATCATGGATTACAAATTCCTGATGGTAATTGATTCGTGAATTGGAGAGCAGTCATGTCATATAATAGTTACTCAACAGATGGTGCTCACATGCAAACTTAAATGCCCAAAGCGCTAATGGTGTCCAATTAAAAAAGTGAATATCAATCACAAAACTCTATTTTATCAATCCCTTTTTTCTATATCTTTCATGTAAACATACCTTATTGGTACTTAATGACTCTATAACCAGATATATTCCTTCGCAGCACATACATGTAGAGCATATGTGACTGTCGGTAAGAACCAATCATTTTCTCCCATTTTGGGGGACTCGAAAACAGAAGAAAATCACAGTTTTTAACGTTAAATAAATCAATTGCGATAATTGAGATAAAAGTTCAAGTTGACACATGTGAAAAATAAAAATAAAATATCTTTAGCTCGAGTGATTCGCTAGGCTGTCTTAGGTAGTTTTATTTAAATAAAACAATATTAACATACACAAGGAAGTTCAACGTGACTGATAACATTATCGGCAGAGAAGGTATAAAATAAAATTATTATTATATACTCATCATGTAACCAGTTGTTACAGTATATCATAATTTATAGATAATACTTCTTGATGATAACCTAGCGATCAATCGTTCTAGTTTTTACGCTACAATACTTTGATACAATGTAAAGACAGGCTGAATACCATGGGCATCACTATTAACACTGATATGTTTCATTAATTTATTTATATAAACAATTACATGTATATGAACACAATATAACTGATATTAATTAGTTAATTGCTTAGTTCACCCAAGTAGGAAAACATATACGTCCAAACATGCGTTTATTTATTCGATTATTGTTCGCATAATCTTTAATTTTAATTTTTTACCAATCGATGAATGTTACCACGATTTTCAATCAGTGCAAAAAAATAAGTGTAATACAATTGTTCGTGGAGTGTCTCAGATGTTTGTTTTATGAAGCATCGCTTCATTCACCCAAGACAAAGACATATCTAACTTATTATTCATGACTTAAGAGAAAGTTTCAGGAATATAGAAATCTTGACGAAGTTATTAAGAATTCTTTTATTACAGTATATTTACTAAAAATAGAAATCGATTTGTATAAGGGATAACGATAAAATAATCTATAGCTGCAATTGTCACTAAATCAAAAAGATAAACGAAAGGATAATGAAACGGTCAATCGCTACCCATGGGGAGCATGAAACCTTTATATAATTTTCATCGTTTCTTTTCCGTGTTTCTGTTTTTGAGAATTTTACTGGAATTGTCATATTCGCAGATCTTGAACAGACGAAAAATTTACTTCTTAACTATTAGATTTACTTCTTAACTATTAGACGAGAGGATAACTGGCACTCGTCGCAATACCACAATGGTTCTCTTTATTCCTCGCCATCTTGATGTAACCCTTATCTCCCCAGGTTGTACCCCAGCTATTCTTCACCAGCCAATAATCATCACCATTGTCATTTGTACCGTAACCAACGACTAATACGCCATGATCCAGATTCTCGGAAGAGCATCTAGGTTCGTAGTATACTCCTAAAAATTGCGTAACGTTTAAGATAAGCGAGAACTTAAATGAATTAAAATTTGCGCGATCAAGAAAGTTACGCCCACTTGGAGCAGATTCTTACCAATATCGGTTAATTTCGTAGTTTGACAATTTCTTAATCTCATATCTAATTTGTATCTCATATCTAATCTTTATTCTTCGACACGGATAGTCTTGCTTGCTACAGATAGTCGATTAGACAAGAGAACAAATGCGTACCTTCGCGGTAAAACTGGAAAGATTCGGCGGATGCGTCGATAGCGACTGAAACCGGTCCTATAGTGGCGACTGCAGCCTTCAGCTTCAACTCATGCCCTTCCGGAATGTCCACGTAGCCGGTATCAGTGGCGCCGCTGTTTTTAGGATTGTACCTGCAATTTCAATAATCGTTAAATCACCGGATTATATATTATAGACGGGCATTTTTGTCGTCACGTTTCATGCAAAGCGGCTAACACGTACCTGCATTTGTCATCCTCCGCTTCATACGGATAGCTAATTTCAGTGTCGAGACCATGGTTGTCTCTGACATATTGGAAGGCTTGATCCATTAGGCCACCGTTGCACCCGTTATTGCCATATCGACCGGAACAGTCGATCAGATTTTGTTCGCTCAAGGATATCAGTTTACCCGTGGACCGGAAGTGTTGGCCTTCCAAGGCACCAGTCTGCAAAAAACCAAGCTCATAATATTCATTTGTTCATATTAACAAGGAAAACTGAACAAGTTGAAGACGAAATTAATGTACGAAGTTAAAAGGAGATGGTAAGACAACGATATCACAAAATAATATCGCCATAATCGTATTTGTACGATAACAAGAAATAAAAATTCGAATTTTTGCGGCATTTTATATTCATCGGCTTCATATTGTTTATGCATCGTGAGTGTGGTTTGAAGATGGATCCAAGTATTATATCGAGAGAAAGGTGAATTAAGGTATCAGTAGCAGGGAGACATTAAAATGAATTGAAAATAAGATTAGGAAATAGATCAAACGATTGTCTGTACGTAAAATGGAGAAGAATAAGTTTACCGTGGAGAAAGACCAGCAAGATCCGCAGTGTCCTTGATCTTTAACATCCGTAACAGCACCGTGCATTCTCCAGTCTACCGTTGTCGGTAATTCGACGTTAGCGGGCTCGATGAACATGGCTCCTATTGGCTCTCTTTGAGCGCGAAGTTGCGGACTCACAGACTTATTAAAGCCATTCAAGGTGTTGACGAACTCGTGATGCAACTGTAAATGAGACATGTATATTTCACAGAAAATTCCTTGTCACGTGACTGACCACTAATTGATAAATCGCTTCCTAGAACTTACCATATCACCGTACTTGTTCATTCCCAGCTTGTAAGGAACCTCCTTCATCTCGTATTGACGGTTGTGGATAGCAATCTTGTGCCAGTTCTCCATGAAAATTTTCATCCTGAAACTCTCCTCGACCTTGGAGCCATAGAATTTCTTGTGCGTAGCCTGAAAACGGATACGGTAAAAATTTCATTTCATTTTTGATAATAATTAAATTATCGATATAAATGTCTCAGGTGTATTTTGATTTTATCGTAAAAATGATGACGACAGGCAATAAAGAGATTAATTTGTAACAGGAAACGTAAGTTAAACAGTTTTGAAATAATCTGCAACTGATAACGCCTGGCGTAAACAAGCGCATTTACGTCAATGTTATTATCAATCGCTACGAATAGAACTAGCGATTTAATATTAAGCAAATAAACGTCTATATGATGCAAATAACCTTTGACCACTATTCTAATGACCTTATACCTTAAAAGTGTTCCATTCCTCTGTTACGAGATTGAAGAATGATACAGCTTGCACTGCACCGAGTATCCCCAACAAGAAGATAACCGCAGTCTTCATGATTGCAATTTTATCTCCTTCTATATAAATTTATTTATCTGAAAGCATATATAAATCATCTCGATATTATTCCTCAGGTGAAGAATTTTAGTCGCTTATTTCCTGTACAAATTAAATCCTACTAATTCGGTTAAACCTCATCTTGAACACATTTTTATCTCGACAATTTCTCATTGAAGGAATATAACATCACTACACTGTTTGTTTTTCTCGTATTGTTGTTCTTCTTTCTTCTTCCCCTTTGTACCGCTAAGCGTCGGGGGTATTTTTCTTTGTCTCTGAATAGATGCGCTTTTTCGCTCTACGTGGGTTATTAAAAGCCCTACGGAAACTAAGCATTGGTGCGCACACAGAGATCGTACACATGCATATGGGGACCTACAAAAGTTTAACGCCGGTTGCGAACGGCAAAAGTTGGAGAGAAGTTTCTTTCTTGGCAAGAGATTACACTCCTCTCTTTTTTGGTGGTTTGCCGGGCCACCGAAGAGGAGCTACGAGCGTGTGAAAAATTTTCTGTGATTTATGCCGGGGGAGCGAACCCGGGACCTCTAGCATAGTAGACTAGTGCGCTATCTACCATACCACGCTCGCGCTCTTCTCATATTGTTAATAAATAAAATGTTCCTAAACTAGCAAAAAGACCACAACAAAGTTTCTATCTTGAACAGAACTGTCCTTGTAAACTCTTGAAAACTATAAAGACTTAACGTTCGTTAATAGGAAAACGGTGCGTCACACACGACCACCGGCGGTCATTTTCAATCACCATTATGACACACGAAACTTGGTATTCGTGCCGGAAGATTTGGTTTCCTTAATCATGGATAATTATGCAGAAAATGTGCTTCCAATAATTATCTCAGTACGACGAAAAAACCTATATTATATCGACAGCTGCCGGCGCTAATTTACCTTCCCTATCTATAGAATGTTGACGAATTCCGAAAGATAAACAATCTTCAAATGATACGATTATCCTGTCTACACGATTTACCTTCCTCATCTACAGAATGTTGACGAATTCCGAAAGATAAGCAATCTACGAATGACACGATTATCCTGTCTACGCAATGACGCTGCAATAAGACACACGTAAAAGGTTTCTTCGTTCGGACGCGTTTCCTTACGCTGCTACTTTTCTTATCAAAAAGTGATAAACTCTCCTTATTTTAATGTTAAAAATACATACGTATCTTTCTCTAAAAAACAAGAGACGAGATAAACCAGCAGCCAGCAACTTGTAGCGGCAATAATGCAGCACGATACAGCAATAATCGGTTTGATTCTAGTTAATATTAACGTTTGGTAGAAAAGTCGATAACGGGCGAAATGGGTGTGAATATGTTTAGAGATAACAAAACTAACTAACAATTTCGACCTTGCAACAACGTAATGACCAGTGAGTTTTCCGCCTGACCGGACAGGAACTATGAGTGCACGACTGCATGCATGAATGCGTTTGTAACGTTCCGCGAGAGATCCCAAATGCGACCATCACAGGGGCGTATTCTCTTATCTTCTTTCCCTCGTTTATCAGTTTTGTGAACTTTGTCCATTGTTCTGCCCGAGAAACCTAATTATCACGAGTCATTCCATTCTCCATGTACAAAAGTTGTACCAAATATTGCAGTCGCGTCTCCCTCGAGACAAATCACTTCCGCGTTAATATCATCCACAAATTCGTCAGAGAACACACGCCCCTAGAACTTGAACTCGCAGACCACTTGCGCAACGGCCTTTGTGAGAAGTAAATAAACAACGTACGTGCGCAATAACAAACAACTCTCAAAATAAAGGCACGCAGCTACGCATTTATTTTATCTGCAGTTTTTATCATCATAATTCGTCATATTCGCAATCTATAGCATTGTTCGAGATATCGCTTAAGATACAGTTAATTTAATCTATCTAATGCGACTTCTTCGAAAGATATGGTATATGATGGTGAAATTCGATACGCATTAAATGCTGATAAGAAGTCACGAGTCCGAAGAGCTTTTGACCGATATTAACCGAAGACAGATAAATTATTTATCTGCTCTAAATGCGTATTAGCGTATAGTAGATTCTTACATTCTCGGCATGACGAAGGCATGCGTCGAGAGATTGTGTTGCACAAAAATGCAACAGATCGCAAATACGACGATCACCGAGTGGAGTAGCTCGTCTTTTGTTTCGAATAACTCAGCGATAGTCAAAGAGTTAGTAATCTTTAAGTAATAACGGCTGTTTTTGGTTTTACCAAAGGAAAAGAAATTATTTATGGGCCAATAAGAGTCTAAATACGGATGCCCTAGTGCTGTCTTGAATATTAATGCAGTTATATTAATATTATTTGTGGCGTGCAAGGCCTGATTCTCCGCGTACGGTTGCCGATCAAAAGAAAAGAACGTACGTTCAGTGTGCGATTAAACACGTATCTTCCTATTAATAAATATTATAATATTATAAATAATATTAATATTAATTATATTAATATTTAAAATAGCATTAGAACATACTTAGCTTCTTACTGGCTCATAATAATATCTTAATCATCTTTGTTTTAGCGAAATAGAGCGGGTAACATTTAACTAACCGCAATTTCAAATCGTCGATTGACTTAGTCGGAGTTTGATGAATTTGTGGATATTCGCGATATATTCGCGGATTTCCTTGGAAATTACTATTAATCATTGCCAGTGCCAACGGTATTATCGCGACATCGCGATACGGAACACGATTGCCCACTGGAACAGATTCACCACTGACGGTGAATAATGGAAAAATGTGTATTCGAAAAATTGTTAATCGAAAAATTATATTGAGTTAATACATCAATAATGTATCAATGACCTTCAATGTATTTTATATATTTCAGCTGTCGACGCGCTTAGAATATAAGAAGTAGAAAGATGATGTCATTTAAGATACGAAATTACGCAAGTAATTTTCTCGTCTTTATGCCTCCAACAATGCGAATACTTTACAGAATGCAAAAAGCGAAAAATACAGCTTCAAAATTTTGCATATAAAGCCGTCACGAAGCTTACGCTGAATCATAATTATCGTGTTCTCGTGTTCCGATGTTATTCGTCGGTTGCTGGAGACAAAAGAAAACCAGGCCACCTCTCGAAACGGACCATGTAAGCTGAAGCCCGCGTTTCTACGCACTTTCATCGTTGCGATAAGACGCAATATGTTGTTCCGTAAAACTGATTTGTTCCATAAAACAACACCGATAATGGAAGATCAATCGCTAATTGCGTGATGACAATGCGCGTCCCAGACGCCGCAAATCCAAACAAAGAGACCCGTTACGCTATTGTCGATTTCTGCCCTGAATGGCATCTGACAATACAGCCTCCATTTGTCAGATAAAAAATCGGACCGTATACTTGACTACATTGCCGTGTCTGTGTCGTCAGCATTTGAGGCAAAACGGACGAGTGCTCCAAATTTATAGTAGAAAAAAAGGTAGAATAATAATTGGAGAATAAAAATAAAGACGATTGAAAAATCGACGTCTGCGTAACTCATAATCATAATAATAATCCGTCGTATTCGTCGAACGCGTAAAACGATAATTGGTATGTTGACTACTCACCGAAATTCCCCCTCTGCAGTTAACTCACAGAGTGACTACGACGAACAATACGCTAATTCTGAAGAAGCGAGCGACGATTGTCTGCTGTTAAGGCAGCAACCTTCGCCTTTTCAACCTCCCACCACCATAGATTATGTGATTCATTGGTCAGTTACGTCCAATCGCTTGTATTCGTATCTTGTTTCCTGTTTGTAGATCGCATTTCACATCATCATAATGGCTCCTGCGTATAGGGCGCGATAACCAATCACTTACTTGGATACTCTGCTACTACCTACATAATTCTGAAAGAACTTAAATCGACAGTAGAAATCGATAGAACTTAAATCGATAGTTCTCGAGAAGAAAAATCGACTGTGATTGATCGATTTCTTAAGTCTTAAGGCTTAAAATATTATTGTAGACCGAGACTAAGCCTATCTTAAGTTCATCTTCAGATACCCAATGAAATGAGCCGTAGAGCATCTGAAGATAAACTTAGGATCTTGAATACAAGATTCGACTATGAATACCGCCCTCTATATGTGCGTCCAATAATCATCGTTATCATTGAGCTTTCACGAATATTGATCTGTTTTTTTTTAGCTGCAACTGTTGTTAACTGTTGAACTGGTGCAATAAGTTAGAGTGTGACAAGTATATTTTGTCTCACTTTAACTTATTACACCAGTTCAGCAGCTAAAAAGAACAGACTATATGTCACGAAATTTGATGTTTACTAACAAGAAAGACATTTCTTTGATGTGACAGTGAATAATAGTACTGGAAAATGAAAGTTTAAGCAGGATAAACTTCAAGGAAATTAATAATAATATATAATATATAATAATATATACTATTCTAATAAGATCTTTTGCACACATATACAGGCACAGGTTATATAAAATTATAATTTGCAAAGTTTAAATCGTTTTGTAAAAATGTATGAGGTTATTGTTTTGTTTAACGGCTATTCTAAGAAGCTGAATGAAACGACAATGGATGCAAATTGTACTTGCACGTTGATAAAGGGTCCCAAATTGATTATAGTTGACACAATGACTGCTTGGGACCGTGATAAACTATTGAGTGGTACGAAAGAAATTGTATGTCAATATGTGGAATAAATTTTCTTTGTATATATTTTTCCCTTTTTCTTTAGCTCTTATGCAACACAATATCATGCCAACGGATATTGATTATGTTGTTTGTACTCATGGTCACCCGGATCATACAGGGAACAATAATTTATTCACAAATGCAGAACATATTGTAGGGCTTTCTGTTCATCGTGGTACCATTTTCTTTGAGAAGAATTTTATGTCTGGTTTGTTCAATTTATTAAATCTTGATAAATACGTAACAAGATATCAAATACATAAGTAGAATATATAAGTAAACAGCGTAAATGAAAAAGACTGATGCAAAGTTGCTGTAGCAATTGTAGATGCATGATAATTTACGTCATACATCAGAAGATGCAGATAAATAAAAAATATAAATACATTCTAGGTAGTCCATATTGAAGTCTCTTTAATCACAGGGAAATAATTACTATGCACCTACAACTGCGCTTGGGCTCTAATTCTTTTCTTATTATGATATTTAAAAAAGTTATATTTCTTTAAATATAGAGGATTATAAGCTTTGTCCAGGTGTTAAAGTTGTAGCTACTCCAGGACATACCGCGGAGGATGTTACCGTGCTAGTGGAAACGATGAAGGACGGAGAAAAAATATGCTATGCTATTACAGGTATTGATTTCAGAAATTATCAAAGTACTTCAAACATATAAACGTATCAATTTGATTACTGTATTAAATATTTGTGTTTTATTGGAAAATTATGTACAGTTGGGAAATAAACATATGAATATTTTGATCGTAATAATCTTCTAATGTAATAATTACATGTATGTAATTATATTATGTTAAATACATGCCTGATTTCACATTTTTATAGGAGACTTATTTGAGAAAGAAGAGGATATTTCGTCACCACACATCTGGAAAGCGTTGGGTGCACCAGAGTTGTTGGACAGTCAGTATATGATGCGACAGTTTATAATAAATCTTGCAGATTTTATTATACCTGGACACGGCCCAATGTTTCGTGTAACCGACAATATGAGAGAGATTATAAACAGTCAGCTGTCTCGATAAAAATCTGGGGTATTCTTTTTGTTATTTTTATAAATACTTTATTAAACCTTGCAAAGTGTGGTACATGGTATCACATTACTCATTGTATGTATACATTGCAATTACAGATTACACCGGATTCACAAACATATATATGCATATATTTATACGAAGGAGCAATATATGTTCACCAAAAGTCGCAATTTTGTTCATTGTAACGACGCAAAACCAATATGACTTATATTTAAATAAATCTTCCGCGATAATAACACGGATTTACTTTGAAGAATCGACTTGCAATTGGTATATATATATATATATATGCCGTAAATATTGTTTTATGCAGACATTCTCTTCCTTGTTCTAAGAATTTGCCCTTAAGGTATCTACCCTACATCCGCAAACAATTTTATCAAATCTTCACAGCCAACGACTAAATTAAGAATCCTTGCGCCTTCACTCGTAACTTCACATTCTTATTTCAGAATTACCTTATAATCGGTCTATGTGCCTACGATAATATCTATATAATAGAACATTGGGAGGGGGGGG